TCAAAAAAATCTATGACAAAATCAAACACCAGATATTAAACACACAATTAATTATTATATGAATGTAAAAACAAAACTCTTATGGCATATAATAAATGAGGAATTAATGGTGAGATTTAATTAATTAAAATAAATATAAAATTCATAAATAAATATTAAAAACTAAACACACGGTAAACATAATTAACACAATGTGTTATGTCATAACCACAACAATCACTGCCAGTGATTAACTTCGCTAAAAACATATAATTCTGGTCAATAAACTGCGGCACCAGCCGTACGGCGCTCTCTCGACTTTCGTAGGGCACGTGACCCCCACCCCCACCACCAGCACCGCCGCCACCGCCCGCCTGACGGTTTAGATGGCCAGTAGTCATCGGCGCCGCCACCGCTACCGGAGCCGTAGAAACCGGATTTTCCATTCTTGCATTTGCACAGGTAATTGATTTTGCGTACGTCCAGATCGGAGGGGCACTCGTGTCCCCTACATCTAAGATAGGGCACCGGCCTCTTGGCCACGATTGTGGCCTTTTTATTTTTGCTGAACGCGTACTGTCTGTAGTGCATGACTGACATCAGTGGTGTTTGATTTTGTGTTACAGTTGTTGTGAATGATAGGCACAAGTGTTTTACTAATTGTGGAACCAATTGGTGATGCGTTGGGTTTCATACTTGAGATACACTTATAATGATTACACATATATTGTATTATAAACACCATTCATATCAATCGACAGAATATAGAGGAAATATCTTAACCATCGGTTTATAATCCATTGGTTTGATTACTGTTCATAAACAACACGCAATGATTAGGGGGTGAGAGAGTGTTATCTCACTCTTATTGGAAATAGTTTCAAGAATCGTAAGAATAATGCATAGAAAAGATTGTGTTGAGCGAGAAATTGTAATGTTTTATAATCGGGTTATGAATTGATTTTATAACTTTTTTTTATGTATTATTATTTAAATTTATCTAATTTTTAAAAACAAAACTATATTTCTATGTGTAATGTGTTTGTGATAATTATGCCGAGAATTCTTAATGTCAGATCTCATACGAGTGTTACATGTCTTGCATTTCAAATAATTTATCGCTTATTTTATTGAGAGAAACAAGTGTTGACTCAATTCACTGGATTTATTATATGTCATACAACGGAAACATTTATAGTATAAATTTAATAGAAATGTATAACAATATTATATTAATAGTAAATCAAGAGATTCACAGCATTATCAATACTATTGGATTAATAAACATTCATCCAATTCATAGAAATAGCACTACAATAAGAGTATTATTACCAAAAGTGATTAAGGTTACTATTTTTATCAATTAACCACATAGTTAAAATTGTATTTAAAATTACACTAATTTAGAGTGCATACTCAATGTTAAACCAATTTATTGCAAAACGATTTATTGCAAAAATTGTGTTAAAATGCATTAATTGTAAGAACTATCGGTTTTTAAAATATTATATTTTAAATATTATATTTTCATTTCTCAGAAAAATTTATAACTTAAAGTAAAGTTAAAGTATAACTTAAACTTTATAACATAAATTGTTTGATATATTATTATTTGGTAATTAGTAATTACTGTTAATACATGTAATTAATTGCTGTGATAAATATTTTTGCCAATTTTCTCCCTTAAGCACAAATACCCACACATTTATTTAAATTCAATTTAATTAATGATTAGTTTCTTAATTTAGTGAATAGTAATTAAGATTATAATTAGAAGTTAAATAACTTCTAAAATATTTATTTATATACAATAAATTTTGACGAATTGTGAGCTAAATCTTATTGTGTAATCTAAATATAATCTTTATATAATATTTATCAAAATGGTAACGAAAAATAATATTAAATTGCTAAATATTTGTATAAAATTTATGATATAATATATGCAAAATGCAAAATTATAAATGCAAAATATTATAACTTTATATTAACTTCATCTCTGGTCAGAGCGTACGGTAGCGTCTCATAAATACACGAATTCATTGCATCTAAAAACTAATCAATTTTTGTTTCAAGCATATGAATCAATGTTTTAAATTATGTTTGCAGTGAATTCAATGTAATTTATTAATTAATTGCCACAAATGGCAAATTCTCTGCCACGCAATCTATTAGCTTATCCTTTGATTCTTTAGATACGGCTTTATTTGAAAGAATTATTAATAAAATATACTTTTGAAACAGATTTTTATCACAGATAAAGAGGAATTAGGTTAAAATGAGACATATATAAGACTTACTAACGACGGACACGTAGTGTAGGTCTTTATGTCTGACTCTCACTAACCGTTAGTTTACATAAGAAAAGAGTATATATTTTGATGCAAAGAAGAGCTCTGAAAATCCTGTCTATCAATCATTTTCAAGGATAACGATTAGTGTAGAGATATTTATCAGTCCTTTCATTCAACTCCAGTTTGTTATGATTTCTTGGCCTTCAGTTTAGTAATAGTTATGTAAAAGAGTTTCTTAACTTGTATTTTAAAATTTATAGAAAACCTTTGAATAAAGTAAAAATTAAAACTCATATTTAACGCTCTCTTTCTCTCTCTCTACAGGACTTAGAAAGTTCGAGCCTTCAAACGCGCTACCTGCTACATTGATGAATATATTTATGAATGGTTGTTCATTGGATAAATTTAGTCCCAAGACAATGGGTTACTTAATTAAAGCTAGTTCAGTAGGCCTAGCAAGTAAGAATTTAAATTAAGCATTTATAATTTAATATAAATAAATCATATCAATTTAATTGACCAGGGGACCATTTGGATTGTTATTGTAATAATTTACCAGATGACTTTGTGAGCGACGCAAATATACAGAGATTTAGAGGAGCAGTTTGCCAGACACCCCCTGACACCAGAGGCAAACCCTATGGTAGTATCTGTACTCGAACTTAATTGGGAGTCCCGTTACCCTTATTATACCAGTTGCTGTATAACACTATCTAAATATGATAATGAAACGGATTTTGATTCAATATAATTTTAATAAATAAAATATATTTTGCATTCACACTTTCTTAATTAATTATAGTTAAATATTAGCTTTAATAAACACTTTAACATCTATTGTAAAGTAGGTTATAAATGTAAACAAATTTATTTGAGAATCTTAAACATTTTAAAATCTGTCATATAACTGATTATGCTAGTTCTGTGATGATTTAATTTGAAATTTAAAGTATTTCTATTTCATCTTATGGAATTGTTTATATTTTTAAATGTTCAGTAATCATAAAATAGTTATTGTTTATATTGTAATTTAATTATATTTTAGTATTCTAAATTTATAAAAGTGCATTTTTATTTAATAATCAAACCGCCTTGATAATTATACCGACATTTAATAGTAATTACACAATTATAAAGCTATAAAATAATTAACCAAATAAATAAAGAATAATAAAAATCACATAAAATATTGAGATGAAAATTCCAACACAAATATAATAAGTGTATCCGAAGTGACAGTAAATTCAACGTTAATTAAAATGAAAGCACTTGCCGTATATCTACTAATAGCCATCTGTCCACTAGTGGCCCAATCGGCCAGATATGGGTGCTATTCCGGTACAATACCGGGATGTAAGTGTACATCAGCTCCGGTATGTAAAAATTATGTAATTTAATAACAGCTTAATAATTGTCATTAACTTTACAACAAACTCAGAGCGCCGGCGACTATGTATACAAATCAACCCTTCAGTGCACTGATAGTGTGGGACCGGCCGATGACTTTGGCGTAAGCCTATGGAGAACTGTCGGCTATTATTTCGACGACTTTGTGGTGGAGGGCTATCCCAACGCCAGACTCCCTGACCGGCCGTTTGCCGCGCAAACTGTTATCAAACGAGTGATAATCCGGGACTCAAAACAGTTGGAGGCGTTTGGGTCCGGAGCCGAGTTGGGGGTCAGTTTGTTCACTAATCTGACCCCTGGTTTGACAACACTTATAATCGCTAACTGCCCGTCCATTCGAGAACAGGAGTGGCCCAGTATTGCCAAACAACTGGCCGGTCAACGGGGCGTTAACTCTACCGACATGGATGTGATAGGTCTGCAGCACCTGGTGGTAGTGAACAGTAAACTCGACGATATAAGTCTGATCCAGAATCTGGCGCCCAATCTGGAGACACTGTCCCTCAGAAACACTGGCATAACTAGTGTTAAGCATGACTTCAGACCATATTCAAGGCTACGCGTACTGGACTTGTCGGACACACCGGGCCTTAAGAGGTTTGCTATCACTGGCCAATTGTCGCCGACTTTGCATAATGTTTTGCTAAACAACTGTGATTTGCGTACGTTTAATCTGGCCACTTTAGAACAATTGACCATGGTTGATTTTGTAGCCCTAGCAGGCAAGTGAATAGATTACTTTATAATAATAAACATTTTGAACAATAATCACTTTATTAATTACAATTTTAGATTTATTTAAATTTAATATAGACTTCATTTATTTTAATAGGTAACAAATTAAATTGCGAATGCTCATACCTACCAGCTGATTTTGTAAATAACGCAAATGCAAAGCGATTTTTGGGTTCCCTGTGCGCCGCACCCGAACAGACCAGTGGTATGACATATGGCGGGGCGTGTATTATGTATCCAAATATGTCACCTGTAGGTCAATTATTGGTGTCCGGGTTAAGAAAAGCTCGGGGTAATAATGGTGCCCTCGATGGACCACAAAATGAAATACATTTAAATGAGTTTTAACTTTTAATTAAACATTTGAAAATATCCAGATTAAAATTTATTTATATATTTATTTTGGTTTATGAATAATACAAGAAAATGGTTATTAAATGCATTAAAATTTAGGTATGATTTTTAATGAATCGGTATAACACTGAAATATCTTACACAAAAAATTTAATTGATTAAAAATACTATTCCTTTATTAATTGATTAATTAACCATTTTAACATATACTGTGTTTGTAATAATTATTATTCATTCAAAATAAGATTTCCAAATGTTATTATAGTAGTGTCCGTAAGGGTCGTAAAGTGGGGGTCGGTTTGGGTCGGGGTTTAAATCCTTCACTTTCGGTACATTCGGATCACTCAACAGTTGCGGCCATTTGTCGTCCGGTTTGCTATTAAATCAAAAATTTAAAAAAATAATTATTAAACTTTAATAAAACAGACAAATATTGAAATGAAATATAAAATAATGTAAAGAATCAAACAAAATATTTACCCGTATTTCGCAAAGTTAGTCCACATCCGCATTACATCACGACTGAACTGACAATCGGTTTCATTATAAGAGTCGACAGTCTGTTCCACAAATGGCTTTCCAAAAACAAACGGTATTTCCATCGCGTGTCCGACAGCCGAGTCCTTGTCATCGCATCCAAACTGTTTGGCAAACAACTGGTTTTGATGCGTCAGTTCATAGAAGTATATGTTATGCCGATTGCCAACAGTTGTGGCCATTTGTCGGGCAAATAGATATGTCGGGTATTTAATCCATAAATCGCCAAAATATTCATAAAACGCTCGCTTCAGAGCCGGTGTACTACTCGTGTCCACATATTTCAGGTAATTGTCGACCACTTTCTGGACATCTATGCCGTGAAACATAGCGTCCGACGACTTAACCGCAGCCGTAAAGTCATCCAAAGTAAATACCTTTTTGTCAGGAGGTATGAACATTCTCGATAGGACTGAGCCCTCATTACTAGTGATTCCCGCTATTAGATCGATGTCTGAAATAAATTATACAAAATTATAATTAAATTAATTAATAATTAAATAATTTCAATACCGGAATAAATTTTATTTTCTTTGAATGCCTTTTGAGCGGAAAGTGGCAAAAACTCAGTGCCCGACATCGGGAATGTCACATGTTTTGATTTGTTCACTAATTCCTTGGCGTCAACTGTCCTTAAATACTGAATCCAATCCATGTCTTCACTCCAACCCAACTCTTTAGCTAAACGTTTGCCTTCACTTAAAGCCTCATCTTTAGTGATCACATCCCTGTCCTTATTATTTAGATGAGCGCCGCTTTGCATAATAGCCCTCTTGAATAACCCCTTCGACAATGGGGAGAGTATATGTGATGATACGGACCAACTGCCGGCACTGCCACCAAAAATGGTGATCTGATCCCTATCTCCGCCAAATAGATGAATGTTTTCTCTAACCTATTATTTTCAATATAAATGTTTTCATTTTATTTACATTAAAACATTGCATTTATAATTACCCATTTGAGTGCCAACAGCTGGTCATAGAGGCCTAAATTTCCGGGCGCGTCCTCCCGATCCCCGTATAGGAAACCAAAGTAACCCAACCTATAGTTCGGGGCCACAAATACCACTCCATGTGTGGCCAGTGGTCCGCCATTGCAGTGGCCATTAATAGAGCCAACAGTAAACCCTCCGCCGTGTATGAAAAACATAACCGGTTTGAGTGATGTTTTATTTGCATTATCTGTGGGCAGAGTTGGTGTCCATATGTTTAGCACAAGACTGTCCTCACTCTGAGTGATGGAAGTGCCTGCAAATGGCATTTCCCTTTGCATACAACTGTTTCCCGGTTTTGTGGCGTCTATTATATCCTAAATATAATGTATAATACAGTTGTTAGATTATTTTTTATAAAGTTTACTATAACTTACATTTCGTGGCTTTTGAATGGGTTTTGGTTTAGCAAACCTGAGCGCACCGATGGGTGGCTCAGCGTATGGTATGCCTTGAAATTGGTATAGAGTTGTGTTGAGCGCCACAACCACTCGACCCCTCACTCTTCCCGATGTGGTCTTCACGTCAATTGTTTCAGCAGTTGTTGTCATTTTGTAAAAAAAAGTCGTTATATTAAAAATTAAAATGTTTACAATTTAACTGTAAATTACATATTACTGTCTGTAATATGATTTTTGATAAATTATTTTCAAAACACAACTTTATATGAAGTGTTCTGTTTTATGTACATTTTTATTTTATATAAGTAGCGTATATTTATTTTACTTTTAATTACTTAACCATATCATTAAATGTACTCAATCCCATTTTAAAGGGTGTTTCAAAAGCAACCATTATCAGAATTATATACACATTTCATATTACATAGTTGACTTTTTGATAAAATTAATAAATAATGATAACATAAATGTCAATATAAATATTTCTTGAAATTAAAATTAACCTTGATTAGTGCTTATATTTGAATAAACTGGATTATTAATTATAAATACAACTTATAAATTAACTTACATGTTTAAAGTAACTAAATCATTATTTTATTGTATTAAATTAAACCGGCTTAACAGGTTAATGTTTATATGATTTCCTAAATTATAGGTTACTAATAATAATTTCTTACTTTGTAATAATGATTGAGTAATAATTAATCAATACATCAATGAACAATTTATTAAGAAATTAACAAAATAATTAAAATAAAAATTTAACAGCAAACGTTAAACAAAGCCGTAGCCGCCTCCGATGGCGGCCTGTTGTTGTTGCTGTTGGGCTGCCCCTCCAAAACCTCCAAAACCACCTAGGGCAGCTTGCTGCTGCTGTTGTTGCTGTTGTTGTTGGGCGGCCCCACCAAAACCACCAATGCCTCCAAAACCGCCAAAACCACCTAGGCCAGCTTGTTGCTGTTGTTGTTGCTGCTGCTGGGCTGCACCACCAAAACCTCCTAGGCCACCAATATCACCAAAACCACCTAGGGCAGCTTGCTGTTGTTGTTGTTGTTGTTGTTGGGCACCTCCTAAGCCATAACCTCCATAACCACCCAACGGGCCAACGAGACCACCGACAGCCGCCTGCTGTTGTTGTTGTTGCTGCTGCTGTTGGGCCGCACCACCAAATCCTCCCAGGCCACCAATACCACCTAGGGCAGCTTGTTGCTGTTGTTGTTGCTGCTGCTGCAGAGCTGCACCACCAAAACCACCTAGGCCACCATAACCGCCTCCGATAGCGGCCTGTTGTTGCTGCTGCTGTTGTTGGGCGGCTAAACCATAACCTCCAATACCACCAAAACCACCTAGGGCAGCTTGTTGCTGTTGCTGTTGCTGGGTTGCGCCACCCAAGCCTCCAATGCCACCTAGGCCACCATAACCACCTCCGATGCCGGCCTGTTGTTGTTGCTGCTGTTGTTGTGCCAATCCGTGGCCGCCATATTTGCCTCCGTGGCCGCCCCACAGACCTCCGTGTTTGCCGCCCCACAGACCACCGCCGGCCATTTGCTGTTGTTGTTGCTGCTGTTGTTGGGCTCCCCCACCAAAGCCACCAATGCCTCCAAAACCACCCAGGGCAGCCTGCTGCTGTTGTTGTTGTTGCTGTTGGGCCCCTCCGTGTCCTCCATATTTGCCGCCATATTTGCCACCATACAGGCCCCCGAGTGGACCACAATTTGCCAGATACTTACCATACGTTCCGACGGCATTGCGGACCAATACGTTCAAAACCAATACAATTAAACACGTCTTGGAAATCATTTTTTGTGATTTTATTAAATGTAATTAAAATGACTGCGAATTGAAGAGACTGTTATACAAAGTGAACAAAAGTGGTCTGATCACTGCTAGTCACATACAGAATATCTCATGGTCTTCCAAACGAGTTTGTATTCCACTAAGAATATAGTCAAGGTCTTCCATAAAATAAAACGTTTCATAACGTAAAGGTTAATAATGATAATAAACCAAAGTTAGTCCACATCCGCATCACATCACGACTGAACCGATGATCGGTTCCATTAAAAGAGTCGACAGTCTGTCCCACAAATGGTTATCCGAAAACAAACGGTATTTCCATCGCGTGTCCGACAGCCGAGTCCTCGTCATCGCATTGGAACTGTTTGACAAAGAACTGGTTTTGATTGCATTATCTGTGGGTAGGGTTGTTAACTGGTCAAGGTTTGCCTTGTATTGAATACAAATGTTCTTTATTGAGTTTATATTGTGTTTACATATTTCGTTCATTTAGTAATAAAATAACATAATTTAATTTGACCGAATTGTCTAATTAAAAAATATTAGTAAGAGTTTAATATAGTTACTAATAATTGCTTACTTTGTACTAAACATTCAGTGATAATTAATCAATAAAGCAATAAACATTTAATTAAGAAATTAACAAAATAATTAAAAATAAAAAGCTAAAAGCAAAACTCAAATTATAAGTTACTAATAATTGCTTACTTTGTACTAAACATTCAGTGATAATTAATCAATAAAGCAATAAACATTTAATTAAGAAATTAACAAAATAATTAAAAATAAAAAGCTAAAAGCAAAAAAAAAATATTGCTACATTAATCAACAAATGTCAAAATAATCTAGCTACGTTAAAAGTCGAATTAAACAAAGCCGTATCCGCCACCGATGCCGGCCTGTTGTTGTTGCTGCTGCTGTTGTTGGGCGGCTCCACCAAAACCACCTAGGCCACCAAATCCACCAAGACCACCTAGGCCAGCTTGTTGTCCTTGTTGTTGTAGTTGACCGCCAAAGCCACCAAAACCACCAAGACCACCAAGGGCAGCTTGTTGCTGTTGCTGCTGTTGTTGTTGAAGTTGGCCGACATCGCCAAAACCACCAAGACCACTTAGACCAGCTTGTTGTTGCTGCTGCTGCTGTTGGGCCGCACCACCAAATCCTCCCAGGCCACCAATACCACCTAGGGCAGCTTGCTGCTGTTGTTGTTGTTGCTGTTGGGCAGCTCCTAAGCCATAACCACCCAAGCCCCCAATACCACCTAGGGCAGCTTGTTGCTGTTGTTGCTGCTGCTGCTGCAGAGCTGCACCACCAAAACCACCTAGGCCACCATAACCGCCTCCGATAGCGGCCTGTTGTTGCTGCTGCTGTTGTTGGGCGGCTCCACCATAACCACCAATGCCTCCAATACCCCCAAGACCAGCTAGGGCAGCTTGTTGCTGTTGCTGTTGTTGGGCGACTCCACCATAACCACCAATGCCCCCAATACCACCCAGGGCAGCTTGTTGCTGCTGCTGTTGTTGTTGTGCTGCGCCACCAAAACCACCTAGGCCACCATAGCCACCGCCGAGAGCGGCCTGTTGTTGTTGCTGCTGCTGTTGTTGGGCAACACCACCTAAACCTCCAATACCGCCAATGCCACCTAGGGCAGCTTGCTGCTGCTGTTGTTGTTGTTGTTGTTGTTGTTGGGCTGCTCCACCAAAACCACCTAGGGCACCAATACCACCCAGGGCAGCTTGTTGCTGTTGTTGTTGTTGCTGCTGTTGGGCAGCTCCACCAAAACCACCAAGTCCACCATAACCTCCTCCGATAGCGGCCTGTTGTTGCTGTTGTTGTTGTTGTTGAGCGCCTCCACCAATACCACCATGGCCAGCTTGCTGTTGCTGCTGTTGTTGCTGCTGCTGTTGGCCCCCTCCACGGCCACCCCAGCCGCCTCCGATGCCGCCCAAAAATCCACCATGTCCGCCACGACCAGCCTGTTGTTGTTGTTGCTGCTGTTGCTGTTGGCCCCCTCTGCTTCCACCCCAGCCCCCGAGGCCACCGCCAATCAGGCCTCCGGGTCCACAACCGGGCAGTAGAGACCTACCGAAAGTGCCGACAGCATTGCGGGCCAATACGTTCAAAACCAATACAATTAAATAAGTTTTGGAAATCATTTTTTTGTGATTTTGTTAAATCTAATTAAAATGACTGCGAATTGAAGAGACTGTTATACAGAGTGAACAAAAGTGGTCTGAAGTGACTATCAGTGTATGTCTTACAGAGTACCAGAAGGTTTGCGCAAACATAAGGTGATCCTTATATCGGTTCCAGAAGGTATTTTATTTTTACAAAGTATTGCATTTCCAATTATTACTATTATTTGGCAATTTTTAGTTACTGTAATTTTATGTAATTAGATATACAGTTCACTCTATAGACCAGATTAATTAATTTTGGTGTTGTTAGTTTACTGTTGAAACCGATATGGGTTTAATATTTTTAACTTATTTTATTTACTTAACTTAAACATTATTAACTTATAAATTTACTATTTTATTTAGTTTGTAATGTATGATCAAGTTTACAAAGTAGCCCCATGTAAATAAATTAAATTTAATATTGATCATTTAGAATAAATAATATGTTAGTGGTTATTAGATTTAGTTTATTTTTAACTTATTTATTGTAATTTCAATATTTAAAAAATATATAAGTAATATAAATTGAATATTATATAAAATATGATTCCCAAAAGTCTGTATAGCGTTGTCCGTATGGGTCGTGAAGTGGGGGTCGGTTTGGGTCGGGGTTTAAATCCTTCACTTTCGGTACATTCGGATCACTCAACAGTTGCGGCCATTTGTCGTCCGGTTTGCTGTGAAATGAAAAATACAATTTTAAAAATCAATAAAAATTTAAATAAAGCAAAACAATTGGCATTAATCTTAAATTCAAACACAATATTTACCCATATTTCGCAAAGTTAGTCCACATCCGTATCACATCACGACTAAACTGGCGATCGGTTTCATCATAACTCTTGACATTAGGTCCGACAATAGACTTACCGAAGACAAAGGGAATGTCCATACAGTGGCCGATACCCGCCTCCGGTTCAGAGCACAACAGGTTTTTGGCGTACACCTGGTTTTGATGCGTCAGTTCATAAAAGTATATGTTATGCCGATTGCGGACACGACTGGCCAACAGTTTGGCGAACAGATATGTCGGGTATTTCATGAATAAATCGCCAAAATATTCATAAAACGCTCGCTTCAGAGCCGGTGTACTACTCGTGTCCACACCTTTCAGGTAATAGTCCATCACTTTTTGAACATCTATGCCATGGAATAAGGCATCAGAAGCCTTAACATACTTCGCAAAGTCATCCAGAGTCCACACTGGTTTGTCGGGTGCGAGAAACCACCTGGTTAAATTTGAGCCCTCAGTGCTTGAGATGCCCGTCAATAAATCAATACCTGATATAAAATAAATTATTTTTTTATTAATAATCAATATTCATATGTAATTCAAACCGGAATTAAATTTATAATCACGAATCGCCGTTTGGGCCGGAAGTGGCAAAAACTCGGTGCCAAACACGGGAAACATCAAGTGTCGGGAACTCGTCACCAGCTGTTTGGCGTCAACTGTCCGTAAATACTGTATCCAATCCACGCGTTCACTACAACAAAGTTGTTTGGCTATAGTTTTGCTTTCAGCCAAAGCGCTGTCTTTGCTGTTCAGATCCCTATCCCTGTGATAAACAACGGCTCCGCTCTGCATAATAGCCCTCTTAAACAGGCCTTTGCATAGCGGGGAGAGTATGTGCGCCGACACCGACCAACTGCCAGAACTTTGTCCAAAAATAGTGATCTGATCCCTATCTCCGCCAAACAAATGTATGTTTTCTCTAACCTATTGTTATATCATTAATACTGATTCAATATTTATTATTCAAGTGATAAATAATGACTCAAATAAATGTACTACCCATTTGAGAGCCAAAAGCTGATCCCAAAGGCCCACATTTCCGGGCGCGTCCTCCCGATCCCCGTATAGGAACCCGAATTGTCCGACTCTATAGTTCGGGGCCACAAACACCACGTCGTGTGCGGCCAGCGCTGAGCCGTTGAATTGATCGATATTACCAAAGCTATTACCGCCGCCGTATATCCAAAACATAACCGGTTTGAGTGACTGATTGGTTGTATTATCTGTGGTGTCTATTATAGTTGGTGTCCATATGTTTAGCACAAGACTGTCTTCACTCTGTCGGACAGGACACGGATAAAACGGTACTTCCATTTGCATACAACTGTTCCCATTTTTTGTGGCGTCTATTATATCCTAAAATATTTATTAACTAATTATTTATTTATGTTTTAATAGTAATTATAACTAACATTTTGAGGTTTTTTAATGGGTTCGGGTTTAGCAAACCTGAGCGCACCGATGGGTGGCTCAGCGTATGGTATGCCTTGAAATTGGTATAGAGTTGTGTTGAGCGCCACAACCACTCGACCCCTCACTGTTCCCGAAGTGGTCTTAATTATAGTATTTGCTATCATTTTGTGTTTTATACAAACGATATATTTTACAATATAATAAATTGGTGATAATTTTAATTATTAATTTAAAACATAATGTAATCGCGTGATTATAAATTATTATTTATTTTAATTTGGTTCATAACGCGCACTGATTTTGATTATTATTTATAATTGTCATTTAACAAGTAGTAATCAACAACAACTAATTAAAATATATTAAAAATATGATTCCCAAAAGTCTGTATAGCGCTGTCCGTACGGGTCGTGAAGTGGGGGTCGGTTTGGGTCGGGGTTTAAATCCTTCACTTTCGGTACATTCGGATCACTCAACAGTTGCGGCCATTTGTCGTCCGGTTTGCTATGATGTAAAATTATTTGCAAAACAAAAATTTTAGTAAATTAAGCATTAATTTTGAATTTAAATATTTACCCGTATTTCGCAAAGTTAGTCCACATCCGCATCACATCTCGACTGAACTGACGATCAATTTCATCAAAAAAGTCAACCATTTCTGGCATTAAAGGCATACCGAAGACAAACGGTATGTCCATTCCGTGTCCGACACCCGACTCCTCGTCATCGCATTGAAACTGTTTGGCGTAGAACTGACTTTGATATGAGAGTTCATAGAAGTATATGTTATGACGATTGCCAACAGTTGTGGCCATTTGTCGGGCGAATACATATGTCGGGTATTTCATCCATAAATCGCCGAGAAATTCATAAAACGCTCGCTTCAGAGCCGGTGTACTACTCGTGTCCACACCTTTCAGGTAATAGTCCATCACTTTCTGGACATCAATATTATGATAGATATCGTCCGATGCCTTAATCCCAGCCTCGAAATCATTTAAATTCAAAATCCCTTTGTCGGGGGCTATAAATAGTTTGGTTAAATTTGAGCCCTCAGTGCTATTGATGCCCGCCATTAGATCGATGTCTGAATAAAATAAAATTAATTAATACAATATTTGCAGTACTTTTAAATGTAAAATTATATTTTATATAAAAATGCTAACCGGAATTTAAATTATTAGTTTCATATGCCGGTTGAAATGAAATTGGTAAAAACTCTGTCCCCAACACCGGATATGTAATTGGGTTTGTTTTTTGCACCAGATCTTTAGCATCAACTGTCCGTAAATACTGAATCCAATCCATGTCTTCACTGCAACCCAATTCTTTAGCTATACGTTTGCCTTCCGCTATGGCCTCAGCTTTACTGATCACATCCCTGTCCTTATTATACATATGAGCGCCGCTCGACATAATAGCCCTCTTGAATAGACCTTTGGATAGCGGGGAGAGTATGTGCGCCGATACGGACCAACTGCCGGCGCTCTCACCAAAAATTGTAATCCGGTTTTTATCTCCGCCAAACAGATGTATGTTTTTATTAACCTATGAATTATATATTATTATTAACTGTAGATATTATAAAATTAACAATTAAATATAAAACAAATAACTTAATACCCATTTAAGAGCCAACAATTGGTCATAAAAACCCACATTTCCGGGCGCGTCCTCCCGATTTCCGTATAGAAAACCAAAGTAACCCAACCTATAGTTCGGGGCCACAAACACCACGTCGTGTGCGGCCAGTGGTCCGCCGTTGTATAGATCAATGGTCCCAATGCTAAGTGCGCCGCCATATATCCAAAACATAACCGGTTTGAGTGACTGATTGGTTGTGTTATCTGTGGGTAGAGTTGGTGTCCATATGTTTAGCACAAGACTGTCTTCACTTTGATTCTCTACTTCTGGAAAATTCTGAAATTTCTTTTGAAAACAAGAATTTCCCGATTTTGTGGAGTCTATTATACCCTAATTATTAAATATAATTGTATAATAATTATATAATAAAATAATTGTATTATTTTTATCTTAATTTTATAATAACTTACATCTCTAGGTCGTTGAATGGGTTTGGGTTTAGCAAACCTGAGCGCACCGATGGGTGGCTCAGCGTATGGTATGCCTTGAAATTGGTATAGAGTTGTGTTGAGCGCCACAACCACTCGACCCCTCACTCTTCCCGATGTAGTCTTCACGTCAACACTGGTTGTCATTTTTTAGATAATGTAAACACAATATTTAGTATATTAATTAAAACAGTATAAATGGTTTGTGTTTCACTTGAAATATATATTTTTTAATAAAGCACGTCAGACCTGAGTGATGATTACTAATTATTAAAAACTATTTATACAGTGCAACTACTCTATAAGAAACTGTCAGTTTATTACAAAAGTTATTCTTATCGGAAGGTATTCACCAAGGGAATTTTATATATAAACAAGGTAAACATTATATTTGTATTTTTAAATCAATATAAGTCATAAGTTTTTAATTTATTAAATGATATCGGTATTGTATTGTTAGTATTGTTTAGCTGACTTAAACTGATTCAACTTCAAAACACACATACTACGTGTATATTTGTTACGGTAATACAAAATAAAATGTACAATAAAATCAATACTTGTGTAGTGAATGATTATTGTGTAAATCAATTGTCACCGATTGTCCGGTGCTTTCTGTTATACAATTTTTATGTATCGGATATTACTTTGCTCTACATTCAGGCCATAAGCCATCCATAACTAGTAATTGAGTTAAATGATACATACTGCATATTATAATTAAAGTAATATGCAATTTATTTTTAATTTCGAAGATAAAACTTTAATCAAAATTAATTATTAAATTTTATATTCATAATGCAGGTAGATATAAAACTATTCATAACACAAATAAAAAACATTGTTTTATAAATTTTAAATAATTAAGATAATAAAATAACATATTTATATTTAATTATTTTCAAAAATATAATTTCCAAAAGTTTTTATAGTGAGTGGCGTACGGGTCAGTCAGTAGGGGTCGGTTTGGGTCGGGGTTTAAATCCTTCACTTTCGGTACATTCGGATCACTCAACAGTTGCGGCCATTTGTCGTCCGGTTTGCTATCAAATGAGAAAATTATATAAATATAATATTAGTTTAATAAATATAACTCGAATTGAAGCGAGACTTTATAAAATACTATAATAATTAAAAATATACCCGTATTTCGCAAAGTTAGTCCACATCCGCATCACATCACGACTAAACTGACCATCAGTTTTATCCGAACCGTCGACCATTTCGTCCATAAATGGCATCCCAAACACAAACGGGACGTCCATTCCGTGTGCGACAATCGAGTCCTCGTCGTCGCCACCAAATACTTTGAAGAAGAATGGGCTCTGATATGAGAGTTCATAGAAGTATATGTTATGCCGATTGCGGACACGACTGGCCAACAGTATGGCGAACAGATATGTCGGGTATTTCATGAATAAATCGCCGATATATTCATAAAACGCTCGCTTCAGTGCCGGTGTACTACTCGTGTCCACACCTTTCAGGTAATAGTCCATCACTTTTTGAACATCGATGTCGTGAAACAAGTCGTCCGATGCCTTAACCCCAGCCATGAAGTCATTCAAAGTAAACACTTCTTTGTCGGTGTCTATGATTACTTTGGATAAGAGTGAGCCCTCAGTGCTGGTAATGCCCGCCAGTAGATCGATGTCTAAATTAATAATTAAAATAATAAGTATACAGTTATTACATTTTTGATAATTTTGATAATTATTAATCAACAATAAATCAATTTAATATTATAAACATTTTAAAACCTAAATTGAATTCATTTTTCCCGAGAGCCTTATGAGCAGAAAGTGGTAAAAACTCAGTGCCAAATACCGGGAATGTCACTAATTTTGATTTTTCAACAAGATCATTGGCGTCAACTGTACGTAAAAATTGAATCCAATCCATGCTTTCACTCCAACCCAACTCTTGGGCTAAACGTTTGCCATCGGCTATGGCTTCAGCTTTACTGATCACATCCCTGTCCTTATTATACAAAAGAGCGCCGCTTTGCATAATAGCCCTTTTGAATAGGCCTTTGGATAGCGGGGAGAGTATGTGCGCCGACACCGACCAACTCCCGGCGCTCTGACCAAAAATAGTGATTTGATTCTTATCTCCGCCAAACAAATGGATGTTTTCTCTAACCTATTGTTAAATTAATAATTTACGTAAATACAAGTTAAAACAATTGCTATAGAAATATAATAATGCAATTAATATTTACCCATTTGAGAGCCAATAACTGGTCATAAAAGCCCACATTTCCGGGCGCGTCCTCCCGATCCCCATATAGGAAACCAAACGGTCCTAACCTATAGTTCGGGGCCACAAACACCACGTTGTGTGCGGCCAGTGGTCCGCCGTTATACATGTCTATAGTCCCAAAGCTAAGCGCTCCGCCGTATATCCAAAACATAACCGGTTTGAGTGACTGATTAGTCGTGTTATCTGTGGGTAGAGTTGGTGTCCATATGTTTAGCACAAGACTGTCTTCACTTTGTTTGAGTGGTTTTGGGCAAAACGGACATTGATTTTGAAAACAAGAGTTTCCCGGGTTTGTAGCGTCTAGTATACCCTAATTGTTAATTATAATAAATTATTATTACTAATAATTATTTATTCTATAATGTTTTTAAAACTTACATCTCTGGGCTGTTGAATGGGTTTGGGTTTAGCAAACCTGAGCGCACCGATGGGTGGCTCAGCGTATGGTATGCCTTGAAATTGGTATAGAGTTGTGAAAAAATCCATGTTTTTTTCATTTGATAGCAAACCGGACGACAAATGGCCGCAACTGTTGAGTGATCCGAATGTACCGAAAGTGAAGGATTTAAACCCCGACCCAAACCGACCCCCACTTCACGACCCCTACGGACAACGCTATACACACTTATGGGAAACTTATTTTTATAAATGGTTAAATTAAATTATAAAAGTAGTTTAATTATAGTATTTTCTTCAATGAAATTAAGATATTAGTAACAAATTATTAAGAAACGTATCAAACTAGATCATTTTCTACTAAACGATTAAAGTTAACTATTTTCTAACAGAAAATTTAGGGTACTTTTGATTGTAATATAAATAATTATAGTAACTTAAGTTTAATAAGTTAATTATTAATTTTATCCTGACTAAATTGATTTTGTAATGTTAATTATAATTCTCAAGAATATACTGTATATTCTATTAATATAAGAAATAAACAAGTTAGATGTTTTTTTATAAAATGTAATGCTTTTTATTAGACAAACATGTAATTTTATATTATTTTACAATAATTATTTAAACACTTTTTAATTGTATTTTTATTTATCTATTCAACGCGTTATGAATAATAAGTTAGTTAGAATTAATTAGTATTATAAATTTGTAATTTTGCTAGCTAGGAAAATAATAATCGTACTCACTTTAGATTTTAAAAATTCAAATCAATGTGAACTGCAATATTTGTAAACCTACTTGAGTTTTAACTCTAAATGTAACCTGGGTGGCAATTTTGGAATTTCCTGCATTAGTTTTTTTTAATGTAATTAAAATAATAAGGTAAATTTTTAATATTTTTATTATTTATAAGAACATGTTTAGTTACTGTGAATTTTAATAAATATGATAAAAATAATTTATGTATTACGTATTGTGAATTGACAGCTAATTAAAATGAAATACACAAATAAAATTAACTTGATTGAGTTATTTATTTTTATATTTATTATTAATAATAATAATTTCAAGTCATTCAATTGTTTCACATAAAACATTAGTATTTGTATTCAAAATACAATAAAATTTGTTTTTACTTTAACTCTTCATTGTATTCAATTTAACCTTCATATCAATCAACAAAATATTCATAAATTAAAAATATATTTTGAATATAAATATTTATAAATATTTTTAGATTAAAAGTTATGCCATATAACGTTAAATTTAGAAAAACAAGTTTTATCTTTTATTTTTTATACTTTTATTTTTTGTATTTGTAGTTTTATTTTTTATATTTATTTTATTTTATTTAAATGATTGATATTTCTTAATATATCGCTTCTGAACAATTAATCGGACAGTTATTAGGGATTTAATTTTTATCAAATGTAATTAATATATTTTTTTAAAAATATATGTGTGATTAATTAGTATTTATCCTAGATTAATTTTATACAAAAATATATTATTTATTTCCTTTAGTTCAAAAATGGGAAACTTTTAAAGATAACAATTAACTTTATTTTGGCGCATTTAATAAATCAATGTAAAGTTAAATAGAGTTAAAGTTAAACAAACTGAAAAATATTTTTAACAACAATTAAGCTATGAATAATGTGGTTTATAGGATAGTTTGCAATTTAAACAATTTTAATTATTACACATGTAAAATAATGTGCCAACGCAAATTTATACATCATCACCTAAAAAATCCACCATTTTTAATCAAAAAATATAAAAACGGTATTTTTACATGAAATTAAACTAGGATTAATACTCATTAATTTGATATATTTTCCCTAAAATCCATTAATTGCTCTTAATTATAATTAAATTCTAATAACTGTCCGATTATTTGGTTAAAGACGTTAAATTAATAGTTTATAAAAACAAATGTAGTTAAAAACAAATAAAATAACTCCTTTTGCGGATGTAATAATTAAATAACATAGTCAAATGCGCATTTATAACCCTCATACATGTACATATAATGTAGTAGATTTGTATTTAAAATGCGCTTTACAAAAATAACTAAAAGTTTTATCTAAACATATTTTATATTTTCTAAAGGGTTTAATAAATTTTTAAAATTAAATAATTTTGTAATATCGAATCTAATTATAAAACATTTGATGTAATATTACATTATAATAAAACTAATGTACATTGTTTTACTACATTGTATATAATTAATTAAAGTTTATAAGTTAATAATTAACATTATAATGACAACAACTGCTGAAACAATTGACGCGAAGACCACATCGGGAAGAGTGAGGGGTCGAGTGGTTGTGGCGCTCAACACAACTCTATACCAATTTCAAGGCATACCATACGCTGAGCCACCCATCGGTGCGCTCAGGTTTGATTTATGTCAGCTTTGATATTATAGTTAATTGCTTTTAATAGAAAACATGTTTATTGTATAATAGATTAATTAACATGTATTTATGGAAGTTCTGTTGAAAGATATTTAAATTATTCTATAAAATACTAAAAATATTATTAATAATTTATAGTAGATATAAATGCACATTTCATATTTTAGTAACTTTAATACTTGTAAACTTTCATATAATTTGGTTTATATAATAATTATAATAATAAATTTAATAATGACAACAACTTCTGACGTGAATACCACATCGGGAAGAGTGAGGGGTCGAGTGGTTGTGGCGCTCAACACAACTCTATACCAATTTCAAGGCATACCATACGCTGAGCCACCCATCGGTGCGCTCAGGTTTGCTAAACCCAAACCCATTCATAAGCCACGAAAAGTAAGCTATTATAAAATTTGTATAAAAATATTATACAATTATTTCATTATATTTAATAATTAGGATATAATAGACGCCACAAAACCGGGAAACTCTTGTTTTCAAAAGAAATTTTTAATTTTTCCCGAAGTATTAAATCAAAGTGAAGACAGTCTTGTGCTAAACATATGGACACCAACTCTACCCACAGATATTTCAAACAAAACATCACTCAAACCGGTTATGTTTTATATATACGGCGGCGGACTTAGCATTGGGACCATTGATCTATACAACGGCGCACCACTGGCCACACACGACGTGGTATTTGTGGCCCCAAACTATAGGTTGGGTTACTTTGGTTTCCTATACGGGGATCGGGAGGACGCGCCCGGAAATGTGGGCTTTTATGACCAGTTGTTGGCTCTTAAATGGGTATTAAATTTAATATTTTAATTATACTTTCTGTTTATTAATTAAAGAATATAAATTAATGGTATAGTAAATTTATTGATAGGTTAGAGAAAACATCCACTCTTTTGGAGGAGATAGGGATCAGATCACCATTTTTGGGATGAGTGCCGGCAGTTGGTCCGTATCGGCGCACATACTCTCCCCGCTATCTAAAGGCCTATTCAAGAGGGCTATAATGGAAAGCGGAGCCCTTCTGTTCAATGAGGACAGGGATGTGATCACTAAAGCCGAGGCTATAGAAGAAGGCAAACGTATCGCCAAAGAGTTGGGTTGGAGTGAAGACATGGATTGGATTCAGTATTTAAGGACAGTTGAGGCCAAGGATTTGACTGAAAAAGCAAAACCAATTACATTCCCGGTATTGGGCACTGAGTTTTTACCACTTTCTGCTCAAAACGCGTTTCATACAAATCAATATTATTCCGGTTTGAGTTTTTTTAGTTAATTTAAAATATTACTTATGAATAACATTTAAATTACTATACATTTTAGACATTGATTTAATGGCTGGCGTTACTAGTAATGAGGGTTCAAACCTCACAAAGCTATTCATAGCACCGGATAAAGAGGTTTATACTTTGGATGACTTTGTGTCGGGAGTTAAGGCGACGGACGACATGCTTCACAACATTGATGTTCAGAAAGTGATGGACTATTACCTGAAAGATGTGGACACGAGTAGTACACCGGCTCTGAAGCGAGCGTTTTATCAATATTTGGGCGATTTATTGATTAAATACCCGACATATCTATTCGCCCGACAAATGGCCACAACTGTTGGCAATCGGCATAACATATACTTCTATGAACTCTCATATCAAAGTCAGTTTTGCGCAAAGATTTTTCAATGCGATGACGAGGAGTCAGCGATTGGACACGGAATGGATATACCGTGTGTTTTGGGCCAACCATTTGTTGATGAAATGGTAGACTTCTTTGATGAAACCGATCGCCAGTTCAGTCGAGATGTAATGCGAATGTGGACTAACTTTGCAAAATACGGGTAAATGTTTAGATTTTAAATGTGTACATAATTTTGTACATTTTCTCTCATAGAGTTTGTATAGATCAACAAAAAACACTTTTGTTACATAATTTTTAATATAATATTTTTATATTATTGATTTGATAGCAAACCGGACGACAAATGGCCGCAACTGTTGAGTGATCCGAATGTACCGAAAGTGAAGGATTTAAACCCCGACTCAAACCGACGCCCACTTCAAGACCCGTACGGACAATGCCTTACAAACTTTTGGAAATCATATTTTTAATATACAATGTTATGAACGTGGTTTTGTTTTATACATTTAACTAATTATTTGTGACAATTTTATAACAATCCCAATACTAAGGCGCTCTCACAATAAGGCGCTCCCACAATAAGGCGCTCCCTCTTTATTATTGGATGATATTGTGGGTGTGTATGAATGCTTTTGTATGGGTTATGTCAATGAGGGGGCAGAAAGAGGGAGAGTGAGAGCGCCTTAGTATTGGGATTGTAAGTATTTTTGAAAAATTTATTGGTGGTGAGTTAAATTACATCAGAATTTTAGTATTGATAAATTAATAATTACTTATTAATATTTTTAATTTCAATTATGAAAATATTACAATTAATTATTTATCATATTATAATCATTTAGGTTATAAATTTGGATAACATAGTTTATGTATGTTTAGATGACATTTATAGTTGCTTAAAATAGAAAATTTTTTATTACAATAATTGAAATGACAAACAAATGGTTTTTCTCCCAAATGAATGCGTTCGTGAAAAATTAGATTATGTTTTGTTGTGAATTTTATGCCACAATTTTCTTCATTACATTTGAACCTCTTTTCCTTCAAATGAACAGATTTTTTGTGTCGAAATAAATTATGTTTTGATGCAAAACTTTTGTGGCATTCATTGAAATCACAAATAAATTTTACATTTAAATGAACATTATTTTTATGCTGATGTAAATTGTCTTTAGTTTTATAGACTTTATTACAATTATTAAAAGCACATTTAAATTGTTTTATTTTTGAGTGATTGAATTGATGTCGAGTTAATTCACTATTATATTTTGTTGTGAATTGACATTTAGGCCAAAAACAGTGAAAATAATCATTAGATTTAGTAATGATATGACAATTGTTTAGCATTTT